GTCTCTCGACCCCTTTAAGTTCACTCTGTTTTTCCCTTCGCTAAAGAAACAGCGGTGCCGGGACCCGTTGCCACGACTGTACACCTTGTCAGGATCCGATCTGAGAAACAAATCTGGATTACCCTAAACAGGCTGACGCACTTAAACAAACGCTATCAAGTGATCCAAGTAAGAAGCTTATTATGTGCCTGGGCAGAGAGAAGGTTTTTATAACTGTGTTATTGTAAGCAGAAACTTCATTCGTGGTGATTTGTGAGATATATGCCCTTCCTCTTGCTATGTGTTTCCGTGCTTAGCATGTGTCATTTTGAAACATTGCCATGCCGCTGGGCCCTTACTTGTTTGACTCTTGACACTGTGGGTGAGGCCAATAACACTCTACTATCATGACTGAAGTACATAAACACGACTGTTGAATGAAAGTTCGCTGTTGGTTCCCGTGTAATAAGTGGCAGTTACTGTGTGTTATTGTGTATTATTGTGTGTTATAGTGTGCTGTGCTAATGCAAATTCAGAGCTGGATGTGTGTTAGTTACTATTACCTAACACCCATGTGGTCACATCTGCTATTTCCCTTATTCCTCCCCTCTATTGTAACACACACACACCTACATATGTACTTGATGATTGTTGTATGCTTTGTTTTTCCTTAGAGAAGATGAAAGTGGTTGCCCTAACCCTGAAGTTGTGATCACTGATCTGTAAAATAAATTCTATTATAATTTTATGGAGTCGTTGCTTGTTGTTATTGTGTATTGTGTTGTAATAACAGCTCGTTGTGACCGCCAGTGTATGGATTCACCCTTCACTGTCAGTCTATTACTGTGTTCCATTATTGGCATTTATAGGTGAGCAAGCCCCTTTTTGAGACTGTTTTCATTTGGTTATTGGTCCCTGATTCCAGGGTGGTGCCCCATTTTTTTTCTTTGTTATCATTTTTTTCTTTGTTATCATTTTTATATTTTCAATATCTTTGATATTTTATTGATAGCCAAACCTGACCCTATATACCAGATCTTAACATTGGTCAGAGCAAATGATGATGTTGTAACCATTCACAACTCAGAAAATTGTCCTGTCAGGGTTAGAGCATATCCCACTGGAGTCTGGCCAGCATATAGTTTTTACAGACACCAGTAAATGAATAATAAATATTACAAAATACAGAAATGAATTCAAACACAAACAATACAGTAGGTACATAATGTAGATGTAGAGTAACTCTAAATAAAAACTAGCAATTAGCTTAAAAGTAGACTGTAATTTCCCAGAAACCAGTTAGATAGAAAAAAAAGAATCAGAGTTGCATACCACCAGAACGGAATGCAAAGTCAAACGTATATTAGAAGGCACCACCCACCCACTCTATGATTAGATTGAACTGAAAGAAAAATGATTTAATTCCACATGAAATTGTAATTTCATTTCATTTCATTTTTTTTTGTCCCCGCTAGTATAAAATGATATTGGTATATGATGGTGTACATGACAGTAAAATCTGTATTGCATTAGATGTAAGATGCAAACATGCTAATTGATGACAGTAATACAAGATATGGTTTTCAGCTGATACCTGAGTGCTAACAATGCATTAATTATTGAATGTGACCTGTAAAGGAGCTGTGATCTAAATGCGTCAGAACATCTGGAAGCCAGCATTTCACTCTTTATTACCTTACTTGTGCACAACTATCATGCTGCTATGGCTAACATCACAACAACAGCCTATCTTGGCAAACTAGAAAGTAAGCTGTAACCATTCACCATCCTTACTTTCTTGAGAGATTCAATAAGTTACTGCAACTTGAATACATACAATTTGAGCTTGAGGGACAACAAAACAAGGACAATATTAATAAATAAAAGATAAAAACATATGTCCTGTTTTTCTTGAAGGCACTTTCAGCAGCACAGACTTGGTTTGTTGAACTTGGTAGGAAACACAGCTTTCAACCTTCTTCCTGCCATTGTAAATTGCTTCATGGGATTAATTGGCTGCTAACAGCTTATGGATTTTTCTTTTTCCTGTTACTGTCTGTGTCTGTTACATTTGGGCGGTACATGTTGTGGAGATATTTGGCCTTCTGGTGCTTCAAACCCAATTCACTGCCTTTTTCCAAGGCTGGCTGCTTTGAAAAGACAAGACCTTCCTGCTGAAGAAAAGCTGCCCACGGCCTTATCGCACACCAGTGACTGTGTACTTCTCTCTCTCTCTCTCTCTGCCTGTGTCTTTCTTCCTGCAGCTCCCTTTGTATCTGATTTTTAGGCATGAATGTTGGATGAATACTTCTGCTAAAATATCTTAATACAGTCAAAAGTGTGTGTGTGTGTGTGTGTGTGTGTGTGTGTGTGTGTGTGCGTGTGTGTGTGTGTGTGTGTATCTGAAAGCCCAACACTGATATTTTCATATTGAAGTTGATAGTGGACACTTTGTTCCAGTGTCCTGTATTTTAAATGCTGACCAATGTATCACCCCAAAGAAACAAGTTATAGTAGTTTTATTACCGATAATGATCCTAAAAGTCTCAGTTTAGAACAATTCATTTAGGGATAATAGCTCCTTAAAACAGTATTTTGTCTATTGGTGGGTGACACGACTTTGTTCCATCTTCTCTTATTCCCCAAACACACTTGTGCTGATCAATGATGTGTAGTTAAACATAGTGCCTTTGTCTGCCCTCCATCTTGTTGTATTCCTCTTGCTGTTTTACCTCTAAAAGCACCCGCTGTGGCTGAACAATGAGCCAGCAGCAACAGTTGATATACCCCCAACGGCCACTAGGGGGCACTACACTGCCACGAAACAGAGCTGGTCCCCCAGCTCGGCTCCTTTGTCTGTTGTACATTAAGGAACCATCTATATCCAAGATAAAACCCTGTATGATTATTTAACCCCCCTAGTCGCCCTCAATGTAGGCGACCGGCACTGTGAAATCCTTGAGAGATTTTAATTTCCTTTGACCTGGAGAAGGCAGTAGCAGAAATATCAATGTAATGGCTCTGTTGCTCCATTGAAATGAAGATGATGCTTAAATGAAGCATTTGCGTGGCTTGTTTTTGTCTGTTTGTGGTTGACTTTCCCCACGTACGAAAAGGGAAGGAGGGATCAAATGAGGACAAAATGGACTCAAATCGAATCATTATCACGTACAAACTGGTCGTATCAATTGCATCCCCTCATCATCACTGATAGAGATTTCCTGTGTGCAGCATGACTTTTCAGGCATTTGGCCTTTCAGTGGAGCTAATGTAAACGAAAAAAAAGAGCATGAAAGCTTGTTTGATGTTGGTGTGTATTTCATGTCCCTTGCTGCTCTGAAAAAGAATGGCAAAGTATCACTGATCTCTTCCTGCATTTCTCAGTGTGTGTGCATATGTGCGTGATCTGGACACCTACAGGGAATCTTTTACTATCTGACCAGTATCGGTTGTTAAAAACGAGGTCTCTCATTCTTTCTGCCCAAATAATTTTAAGCCGTACTAATTGAAAATGTCAGCTTGAAAAGTCAAGGCCTGTTGCGGCGAGTTAAGAGACCAGCTGGCATTAAGAAGACCTTAAATCAGCCCTGAGGAAATTGGTTTTATTTTGCTTTCATTCTTTATTTTTCTCCCCTCTCCCTCCCTGTTTTTGCATTTTTTGTTTCAGGGAAAATTCTGCAGACGGCAGCTTCCTCCTTCAGAGGTTCAGACCAATATATTGGCTTGACTTGCTGATTCTGGCTTTTCATTAAAAATGTGATCTGGTGCAGTCATTGTGTAGTCTGCCTGTGATGCGATGATTGTCTTTGACAACGGCTTGTGAATATTCAATCGTTTCATTTTCATACGAGATGCTATCTATTGTCGGTAGCGACATAGGTAGTGTCAGTGTCTTATGGACTTCTAAATGCTGTTATTTCAGAGGCCTGCCGAGCCTGTAGAAAAATACAATTCTCGGGATCACACTAAAAATTTGGGAGGACTGTGGGGAATGAAAACTGTCTAATTGTAGGAACCTCACCACTGGCTGAGATTTTGGCTTCATGTGACGGTCTAAATCAGCTCAAAAGACATTTGTTCTAGCCTTTTATGAAAATGGTCAAATTGAAAATTCAGTCCTCAGTATTAGCTTTCAAAAACCAATATCAGACCCCCTTCCTCAGAGACAAACCAAAAAGGAACAGTAGGATAGGGGGCATTTATACGACTCATAACACCATATTACCTTTCCTTGTCTCCTTTCTTTTACAACAAAGAGGAAACAAATGAAATGTTGTCACACTTGAACCCCCCCCCCAACACACACACACACACACACACATATGTGTGTGTTTGTGTTTGTGTGTGTGTGGAGGCTTTTTTTGGCTGTTCACAGTTGATGATGTAGCCTGTGTGCCATGTCAATGCATATGATTTTCAGAGTCTCTCTCTTCCTGGTCCCCCCCCCATCCTTATTGCGTTTTTTCAGTAGTCCTGAGGGGCAACTCATTTTCAACTCTTCTTACTCCTCCTAATCTTCCCATTATCATCATCATCATCACCGCTCATCGCTTTATTTCTTTCTTTCTTTCTTTCTTTTTTTTCAGAAAGCACATTTTAGTGTGTGCTGCCGAAGGTGTTGACCGAGGGCCGCGAAGCGCACAGCACATCAATTAATGCACCATTACTAGGTGCCAGGGTGTGTGTGTGTGTGTGTCTGTGTGTGTGTGAAGCTCAAATCTAATTATTCTCTGGCTTTCCTCATAGCAGGGGCAGAGTCCGTTAGAGAGACTGCTGGTGGCTGAAGGTTTTCATTGCTGCAATTCCTCTCTATTTCTCTCTCTCTCTCTGTTTCTTTACATCTCTCTCTCTCTTTATTGCCTTCTGTCTGCTCTCTCCCTGTCTCATCCTTCCCTGCATCCTGCCTCACCCCACCTTTCTCTCTCCGTCTTTCTCCTCCTCCATCCATCCTCCCGCCCCCCGCCCATCTCTACCTCTGTATCCCTCTCTCTCCTCTCTATCACTCTCTCGCAGATGCCACATCACACCACATGCTCTCCCTTTCTCTCTCTCCTGGCCGTCTGTACTCGCTGCTCTCTCATTCGCTCCGGCCGGCTCATCGCTGGCTGTCAGTTCATTTGCGGCAGCAGAGCAACACTTGGCTTCTTTCAGTGCTCGGAGCGGAGAGGGAGAGGCGAGAGTGGTGGCAAGAGTGGAAGAAGAAAAAGTGGATGATCTTTTGTTAAGCATCCATTCCTCCCCTCATCCCTCTCTGGCAGCAGTGTCATCAGCACCGCTGCCTCCACTGCCGCTCCTGCTGCTGGATCCTCCGTCTCCTGCCGGGATCTGCCTCCTCCTTCTCCTCAGGGAGCTCTTCCTGGTGCTGGGAGGGGGAGGGAGATCACCACCTCCCAGCTTGCAGCGGACCCTCAGCAAGGCATCAGGAGGAAAGAAGGAAAGAAGGAAGGGGATGACATTTTAGGAGAGGCTGACAGGAGAGCAAAGCAGAGGCAACACCCTGGTTTACAGTAGAGCAGAGGAGAGAAGAAGAAAAAAGGGTAAGAGGCCACAGAGTGGACTTGTTGTCTCAGTTTTACCCTTAATTTTATTTTTACCACTCCTTTCTCCTCTGGTGGAAAAATTTTTGGACATTTTTTCTTCTCTTTGACTGGGGGACCAATAGGTTCCTCCCTTAACGTGCAATATTTGCCTTCTCTAGTGCTTGTACATTGTTGGTGAGTGTGTTCCATCCCTCTTTCCTCCCCATATGTCCTGTTCACTGTGATCTGATTTACTGGACTTTGGACAATTAAATCAGAAAATGAGGAGGTGGGTATCTGTGTGTGAAAGTAGGGTCCCATAAGTTAAGAGGAGATGGGAAGGAGGAATTGCAATCCCTGTGTGCAGAATGTGTGAGTGTGTGGAACGAAGTTTGAATGAAAGCAAAGTGAAGAGAAGATTCCTGGTGTTTGATTTTAGCTGTTGCCCCTGCTCTCCGAGTAATCTGATTAGTCTCCGGGGGGCTTCCACTGAACAATCAATGATGCTTGGGCTAGCCGTCCTGTGTGTGTGTGTGTGTGTGTGTGTGTGTGTGTGTGTGTGTGTGCGCGCGTGTATGTGTGTGTGTCTAGCTGAAGCCCTAAGGTTCTCTTTTCTCTTCCTGTCTGTAGATTGCCAGGGTTGGGCCAGGCTAGCCGAGGATCTGTGTGTCTGTGTGTTTGTGAGTGTGCATGTTTCACTGCGGGTGGTAAATCCCAGCTCTGCAGCTCAGGGGTGGTTGGACAGGTGGATGGGTTGGGGTCTTCCTGGTTTTAGCTAAGGGTATATGTGTGTGTGTGTGTGTGTGTGTGTGTGTGTGTGTGTGTGTGTGTGTGTGTGTGTGTGTGTGTGTGTGTGTGTGTCCTAGACTTAGAGAAGAAGAGGCACAAAAAAAAAACAGGAGGAAAACACTTGTGGTTTAGTTTCTCATCTGCTTCCTGCTTCATCGGTTAATTCTTTGTTTTAAGCTTTCTCAATTCTAACCCCTCCTCCTCCCTTTTCTTCTTCTTCTTCTTTTCCTCCTCTGTCCACCCCTCCACCCTGCTCATATGTCCTGTTGATTCCGTCTATCAATTTGTCCATCCTGCTTCATCAAGTAAATTTTTTTTAAATGTTAAACATCTAAAATGCATTTTCCCTCCCTGTCAGTCTCATTTGCTTTGGGAAAACTGCAGCAAATGACTACTACTCCTCAGTTTTGATTAATGCGCGTGATGTAATTCTAATTTAGAAACAGTCAATTTAGTGTCAACCCTCGGCGTCGAGGAGACACATATAAAACAAGCTTATTTCTTTTTCCAAACCATTCACAGAGTAATTGTAAATATTGATTAAAGAAAACAAATCAATGGAATGATTTTGGATCAGCTTAGCTGGAGCTCGCTCTTTGTTTCAGCCGGCTAGTTCAATTAAAGTAGAATGGAATACATTTGCTTGAACTTTTCATACATTATGCATGGTCCTCGCTCCAGCATTTAAACTCTTTCATTTAAAAATAAAGAAGAGGGGAAATAATCATAATGTTTGCTGAATTTACATTTAGAACTTAATTTAAAAGGCATTTGAAATTTGAAATTTTCAGGGAAATGAAGTTCACGGTCTGCAACATGTTGCCATGAATTTAGAATTTTACTGAATGATGTATATTTTCCAATACACACTGTAAACCCCACAATAATAATCAGCCTGAAGGGAGCTGGAGCACAGACTGATGTGCTGCTGCAAAAAGAAGCACTATTTTTACATAATCAAACAAATTAGTTCTCTGCATGTGCTGCTCCCTCCCTCCTGTGGTATAATCCATGTGTTGATTTCTCTCCTAGTGTTGCGGGGGTGGGGGTGGGGGTTGTGGTGATAATGGAGTGTACGAGGCTTTTGTCACACCAAGGCAGCTCCTGGCCTGACCTCCTTAACCTCCCATTTCCCCTGTGTGTGCACCTCTACCCCCTCTCCCCATCCGGGTAGGGCCGAGCAGGAGCAGTGATGGCAACAGTGAAACCAAATGTCACCGCTGGTTGAGGACTTTCAGAAGGAAGGAGGAGCTATCCCAGGCCACGGCCCAGGTAAGAGGCTTGCAGTAGGGGGGTTGTGCTCCATCGCACTCCCTTCTCCCCTGTCACTTCCTAAACTCAGCTTTTACACACCTTTCTCTTTTTGTTTTTCTTTTTCTCCCCTCCACACATGCTGCTGGCTCGGATTGAAAATGCCACCATTGTCAATTTTCTCCTTTGCAGAGGAGCCATTGATGGAGCCTTGCTTCATGCTGCAGCGAGGCGTCTTCAATCAATGCGACTGCCCCACTTTCACTATATATGTATGTGTTTGTTTGCCACTGGAGCCTGAAGGGGGGCTGCTGATGGCGGTGGCGATGGTGGTGGTGATGATGATGATGCGATGGCAATGGTGCTACTCATGTGGTTTCTGGCTTAGCTCCCCGCGTTTACTGAAAGACTCTCTTCGGTGACGGGTATTCTTGGGTGGATAATACGGATCACGTTGTTATTGCTTAAGAATACGCGTAGTCGAGGAGAGTCCTCTCTTCGCCCAACACCAGCAACACACCCCCACCCCCGACACCCACCCACCCACGTTCCTCATCTCACTTCATCCCGACTACCCACCCACCCACGGAGGACTGTCAGGATGGGTGAAGCCACACCCCCAATCTCTACCCTTCCAAAAGAAATTCCCACTTCTTCTTCGATCTGTACTGCATGTTTTTGTCCACTTCCTGTTTGCTGAGCCACGGTCCAAGGTTGAGGGTGTCCTCACGTCTGTCCCACCGTGCATCTATCAGTCTGTCTCTGTCTACATGGCGATGGACAGCGTAGCGTGTTTGTGTTTTGTTTCTGTTTGTGTGTCTGTTGGACATGTTGCTTCGAGATTGTGCGGTCTAACAGAGAAAAACTGTCTCTTTGTTTTGTCGGATACCAAGTCTGCATGGACAGTGTCAGTTCCCATAATGCAAGGGTGGCATTGTAGCCTTCACACTCACACAAACATGTTTATTTACAATAAGACAGTCGTACCTACTTTAGGTTTGGTTTACATTTGGGGTCAGCGCTGTCTTAAACCCCTTAGATAGTAATGGCCTGAACTTGTGCTGGGAGTCAACTTTAACAAACTATAACATTGTTTGAAAGTGACACAATATTATCTGTCTAAATCATAGACCAGTACATAGCCCTGAGGCTCACTTTATCTTGACAGAGACCCTCTTCAAGACAGGCTCTGGGGATTAGGAAAGAGACATTATTATGTCCATTAATATTGTACTGTCATGGTACATGTTTTAAAACAAATCTTCAGGTTAATTAGCACAAACCAGTCCACACACAGTTAACCTAGAGCTTTGGGGGAAACTACAGATCTAGGGCTCCAGGGCAGTGGCCTCTTTATGCTGGTAATCCAGCCTTGCTGGACAGGTACAGCTACAGGAAAAACAGAAATATATTTTTACCAGGTAAACCCTGTAAATGCAATTGAGCATGACCAGGACTATTTCTATTTGACTTCTTGATATTATACTCAAAAGAGTTACCTCTCAGAATAGAGCAGGAACTTCCTAGGCCCTTTGACTAATCTCTCGATTATTGTTCTTATACTTAAATTAATCATTTATTAAATAAATAATCTGAATATAGTGATGCCTGTCACAATTTCCCAGAGCCTTTGGCAACATCGTGCAATTGCTCATTTTATCTGAGCAACAGTCTAAAACCCAGTTCACATATTAAATCGGTTGAGTCAATTGGTTTAGGAAATGTTACCTAATAGCAAACCACAGCCCAATGGGATGTCTTGTTTTGCAGCAAATACTCACAAACTAGAACCACTGAATGTTTGGTAATTTCGCTGGATTAATTACTTGCTTTTTAAAATTGGTGAAGATTAAATTTCTGTGAATCAACAGATCGATTAATTGACTTGTTGTTACAGTTCCATGACGAAAAGGTTTTTTGACCAGTAACTAATTTAACAGTGTGTCATTTTTGGGCCTGTGCATGAAAATGTCGCTAAATAAAAAATCGGATAAAGGTCACTCAGTTTGGTTTTGTCGTTTAGGACCTGGTCTAAAAGCCTGTGCATCAGACCTCATAATGACCAACATTTCTGCAGGATAATACTTAACATAAATGATATTTTTCCAAATTTTGCTCAATCTCTGGCTTAAGAATTAACAATATATTAGCTACAGCACCTAAATCCAAGCATCACTATCACCTGATCAATATGTGTAGGGCTGTAATATCAGCAGACAGTATTATATATTACCTCTGGCTGTGGTTATAGAGTGGAACCTCCTCTTATTCAACTCCATGTAGTGCATTTATTATGGGGCTGAGCTGAGCCGAGTCGCCTCTTACCTTCCCCCCTTTAGGCCCCTTTTTTATGCAAATGACATTTATCGCATTGAGGTTTATACCACATGTAATACTGCTGCTGCCGCTGAGCCTAACAGACCCCCCCCCCCCCCCCCAACACACACACACACACACACACACACACACACACACCACACACACACACACACACACACACACACACACACACACACAAACACACACGGCTGAGAAAACAAAATGTCCACCATGAGCGGATGACAGCTTAACTTATGCATTGAGGTGAGAGGCGTCTAGATAAACAATTACCTCTGGCTCAAATGGTCTATAACCAGCTTTTTCCGTTTTGCTGGCCGGGGCGTCGCACCATGAATATGGATTCCTTCTCCATGTCTGATGGCACATTCTGAACCTTAACACCCATGTAAAATCCATTTAAACACCTAATAGGATCAACTTGACTCATACAGCCATGTCCTCACACATGTCACCTCCCATGATCACACACTGGAGATTTCCCCATACTGCCACGCTAGTGTAAATCATTTTTTACACGCCTTACTACAGCTGGTATGGAATATCAAATGAGTCCATCTGTATGCCTGTTTTATTGTCATGGTGAATATTTGCAGGCAGGTTTTCATTTTAAAGTTAGCCACAGAATCACTCAGACAAGCTCATGATTGTAATTATACAAAGCATCCCGCATTTTACCTTTGCATATTATTCAAATAATACAATTATATGTTTAACACTTGGCTTAGCTGATAATTACTGTTCCTTTTCTTACGGAAACACAAACAAAGCAACATGCTAAAATGTGTGTAGGAGGATGTAAAATAGAGCATTCGTGGTATAATCTCAATTGAATAAAAATCACACACGTTTCCTCCCCTGCCTTTGTGTGTTGATTGTTAGAGATGGTGTGGCGTGAACGTACTCTTGCTGTTTGTTTCCTGCGCATCCATGTGTCTCTGGGTTGCTTGTTGTTGCTACTGCAGGGCCTTGGCTGGCTGACATCACTGCTACTTTGTGATCCAGTCATTTTGCATCATTTGAATACTTTATATTTGCCAAAACTGTGTTAGTGTTATGTGTCCACATTTAGCCGAACATTTTCCATATATACATGAACACATTCATGACTGAAAATGCTTTTGAAACTACACTCTCGACACAATTATTGACTTGAAACACGTACATTTTTGAATACTTTACTGATGCAATAATAACAACACGCTGTCAAAAAGGCTCGTCAGTGACAATGATGTGGTATAAAGTGCTGTCTTAGTGTCATGCTGTGTGTGCCAGCCTGTATTTGGATTGTCTCTGCTTGTTTCCAAACTGCTGTAAAGAGCTGTCATGCTGTAAAACACACGGTTGGCACATAATATCAAATTCAATGGACAATTTCTTTGATGATTTAATGAATTAAGCACTGTGTCCTCTCACTGAGTATTATAATAGCTGCTCATGGTGGCACCTAGATGTCTAAACTGCTCATTATCTTATATGAATGCCATTTCTTTACGTCTCTCTCTGCAGTCAAAGAGCTGTTGTCGTGGTGCACTAATGTATGCTGCTCTGTACTAATGGCATGTTGCTGCTGCTGCTGCTGCTGCTGCTGCTGCTGATGATGATGATGATTGTTTTTAAGCTAACCAGGGACAAATGCTGCATGCATTTCAATCATTTTAGCAACAGCAGTGATAAGAATGTCATTTTCTCCTGTAAGTGTACCTTATTTCTGTCATTAAAATGTGGCTGTAAATATAAATAAATCGCTCTTTTGAAATTGCAATGTGAAGTGAAGCTTTAATTAACATATCTGATGAAATAAATGTGAAAAGAGGCCTCATTTTAGCACTTGAGGCCTGTTTTAGCTATTCGTAATTTCAAAAAGAAACTTTTTTTGAGAAAATTCCTGGCTTTGATAGTGGATTACAGTATTTTTTGTCTTAGTCGTACAAATACAGAGAGAGGCCGGTGGATATAAAAGCTGGTACTCTTAATGCGTCCTGCGCAGCCGGAGGATCGACTGTGGACTTCAGCCTAAACATTTCTCTCTGCACTTTAAAAACCTCCCGGATCTCACTCCAGAGATTTTTTCAGTGATCCCTCAGACAAACCCTAGAGATTAAAAACTAAAACCCATTTCCTCCTCTGCTCTGCCTTCTAACCAGGAGTAACACCAGCAGAGAAGAAGAAATAGCCAGTCTAGACTTCAAACATCTGCTTCATTTCTTCTTAACACTTTAACACTGGACAGACTGAACCTCTGTCAGTGTCATTTTTGAGTCTAAATTGAACTTTCAAAATGTTAGATATGACGTTTGATCAGTTGGATCATTGTCATACCAATATGTGATCCTCTGTAATACATATTGTGTACACATCTAATGATTTGTTCATACCTTGTGCAGGGGAGTAGTTACGGCATAAATCAATAAATAAATAAAAAATAAAAATAATAAATTAAATTAAAAAAGCAAAAACATTATTAAATCAAATGATTTATTTGACCCCAAACTTCACAAGCCTATCCCATTCATGTCTACTCCCAGCCTTAATGGTTGGGAATTTTAGCACCATGTATTTTTGCTACACAGCCTTCAAGAGGTACTAAATCCAAAAATGAAAAACAGACATTCATGCTTCGACAATTTGTGTGCTGGTGTCCATCTACAGTCTATTTAAACAGCCATACAGTTTTACTTTTATGACAGAGACATGACACTTAATTGGTGCTATCATTTAGCAACAGCATGTGGGAATGAATTAACCAATGATTGTAGAAAGAGTCTGATAATATAATATAATATAATATAATATAATATAATATAATAAATATAAATATAAATATAAATATAAATATAAATAAATAAAATATATTTTTTTAAATAATAGCCTCAAGGAAAAGTACAAATCTGTGAATGAATGTATAATAGATCATTTGATTATCTTTATGTGCTGCTTGATCACGCTAACTGCATTGGTATTTATTTTAAAGGGTAATACATACAAAACTAGGCTAGTGAAGTATAGTTTTAAACATTTCACCTCAATTAATAGTTTGCTGGTTTAGTTTTATGTTAAATTTTTTCCAGTCCCTTCACTTGTTCAGGAGTGGCGGTAAAATACAAATTAAAGTAAATATAACCCTTCCCCTTAAGGTAAATGAGTATAGGATGATTCTGCCACACATGATGATATAAATCACCTGACTACATTATATTTCCGACTATGACATACTAGACTGTGTGACCTCTCTAACCCACAGCTACCACAAAATCAAGAGGACACCTTGTGCTTCCCACCATTGTTTTTCACGCAGATAAAACTGACTGTCGGGGGCTATTTACATTACTCTTATCGCCAGGCAGCAGACTACCGTATTACATCCTATTTAATTTAGCCAGCAAACACCCAGAGCATCTTAGTACATTTTATCTCTTGTAATCCTGTTAAAACCGCAGTAATTAGAATCCCAAAAACAACCCTGCTGGACCAAAAACATAGTGTTGCCAAGCCCAATTCACTGTTTTTCATTAGTAACCAGTGTGTCTACAATATCTCCTTTTAAATTTGTTTTGTAGGCTCAAGTTCCAGTGTATCCATGAGCCATTTACATTTGGTGTAAAATTCCTGTATTGAAAAAAATCAAATAATTCATTGGAATTTTGCCAAATTTTCAAATATACTGATTTTTGAATGTTGCCGTGTTTCACTGACATTTAGAGGGAGGTGTTCCAATCCTGATTGAGGCTCTGCACCTATTGGTTTGTTGTGTTTTCAGGCCACTCATTACTTATTAAGCACACTATTATGGAAAATTGATGGTAATGATGGGAAGGACCCAGGCTCATTTGGCAGAAACGCCACAGGAAATATTCAGCTTTTGTACCAATTAATTATGCATCATCTTTACTTTGCTCTCTCTGTAGACTGAACTGAGTGTAATGATGCACAACAAGCTTGAGTGGGTAAAAAGGGAAAAATCCTCGTAACTGATAAACATGAAGAAATATATGCAAATACTTTCAATCTTGCGAGATAAATATCAAACTGAAGAGGGACATTTAAACAAAACAAAACAAAACAAAACATTTGGATTTAATTGGAAGCTATTTTAAACTTTATTTTTTTATTTAAACTATACAAAATTTAGAAATAATCTGTTTTGTGTTAATTTACTCTCTTCAGCTGTTGGCCTTATCGGCCTTCTTTTCTTCACAATCTGCTGCTGGCTCAGGGTTTTTCACAGAAAGCAAAAGAGCAATTGTTCAAATCTTAAAGGAGAAATCTGGGGATATTCTATATTTTTCTTCCTGTTATCAAATTTCATGCAGACTCATACCAACAACAAATGTGTCCTTCCAACACTGTTCCTTCATTACCATAAACACACACACTGTAGTGTATTTTGACTCAGTCTCACATCCCACTGTTGAAATTCAACAGTGAAAGTAGTCCCCAAAAAATACACTATTTCCTCCCGTTTAATTAACATTTGCTTAAATCTACAATAGCCTGCTGTTTTGAAAAATTACCTAAACCTTTTGTTTTATCTATAATTACGAGTTCTTTTACGTCTTCTGTAGGAACCAGTAGGGTTGGGGCTGAGAGCCACAAACAAATCTGTCTCTTAAAAATTCAGAGTAATACCACCTGGATTTCAATTTTTATTAACATAATTAAGAAAAGTTCATACAAACGTATGTGCAAGAGTCACCATCCTGTGTTTTCCTAACATATTTCATGTTTCTTTTTAGGCTCAAACCACCTAGTTAACGTTCCGCAAGACTGTCACAGTTTGATTGGATTTGAAGCATGACACCGAATGTGTTTACTCCCCCACCCCCAACCCCCCATGCGTTGTGTGTGATACAAGACAGTAGCATGTCTGGGACTGCAAATGTTTTATCTGTAACATAATCCAGGCAGCAATTATAGTTACTTTAAAATGTAATTGTCCAATTTTTTAGTATTACATCAATGTCATTTCTAGGAGATGGGTTTGCACAGCCAGGGTAGAGAAGTCAGAAAATATTTAGACGCAGACAGTGTTGGTTTTGATCTTGTAGGTTTTGTG